GACTGATACATATTTATCAATAGTCTAGTTTGAAGACATTCATCTTAAGTTACTTAAAATATTTTGATAAACTTGCTGCTCTAATACCTGGCGTGCTTCTAAACAGTGACGTAGCCAGGAATTGGTCATTGGAGGGGTTCAAATATTTGTATAATATATATATATATATATATATATATATATATATATATATATATATATATATATATATATATATATATATATATATATATAGGGGTGTCAGTCCACGGGAGGGTTTATAACCCCCACTACCCCCCCCCCTTTGCCTACGCCACTACTTCTAGAAATATTTAGTGATACTGTGGTGGTCAGAGTTTCTTACAGGCATCTCTTCCGAGGGGTCGCGGGGGGGGGGGGGGGAAGAAAGTCCACCGCCAACCCCCCCCCCCCCTCCTGGAGAGAAAAGTTCTGTAAGAAACCCTGGCTGTAGTGACATAGTTAATCTGAAAAAAAAAAATCCAAAAAGAAACCTCATTAGTCGTTTAACTAAAAAAACTGACTTCAATATGGTTTACAGTAATTGTTTGTAATGTATCTGTATTTTAATTCTTTACTAAGATAGAGAGGATGGAGTGATGGGAACTTGATTAACGTAAATCTAAATTTACAATCCCTTTGATTAACGTAAATCTAAATTTACAATCCCTTGTTTGTATTGATTGCTTGAAAGAGCTACAGTGACAATAGCGGCTTTATCAATAGGTCAAAACACGATGGCTAGTTTTAGAGTCATTTTCGTGTCCCTGCTAGGAGCCTTTGTTTCTTGCACGGTAAGAGCTGTTCTTCTTTTTCTTGTTAAATTTCATTAATTATATTAGATAATTAGGTAGAACATTCTGGTGCTGTATTGTGATGACTCGCTGCTTTCTATTCTGTCATTCTTTAGTGCTTGGACTACGTGGCAATTCTAAAAAAAGAAATATATTTTTTTTACCTTTGTTTGGTCTTTGTACAGATTTTAAGGAGTAAACATTCAGTCGTAACTACATTTTTGGCCCCATTTATTTGTATTAAAACATGTTATCTAAAATATAACGTTGTTTTTTTTGTTTAAGAGTTTAAGAATATTTCTGCGTCATTAGAGCTAAGCGGAGATATTACTGGAAACCAAGGAGCCAGTAATGTCAGTCGTCCACAACTGAACGACAAAATGCAGGTACCAACTTCAGTGTTTTTAGTCAAATATTGAGTTCAATACCGTGTCATACATCTATACAGATAGGAAAAGATGTATTTACTTATATACAATCGAAATCTTCATAGTCAAATAAATAAATGACTATATATATATATATATATATATATATATATATATATATATATATAAATATATATATATATATATATATATATATATATATATATATATATATATATATATATATATATATAGATAGATATATAGATATATAAATAAATATATATATATAATTTTAATTTTAACATATTTTTTTTTAATTTAGGGTACCCCTTTTATTACGAACGACGAGAACCCGAAACACACGAACGTAAAACGGGCAACTGCTATTAGAAACAGGCTGTACTATTGGATCGACAATAGAATACCTTACAAGATCATTCCTCGTCAGTTACCCCAAAAAGTCAGAAACAGAATTTAAAAAGCAACTAAAGAATGGAGAAAAAAAACCTGCATTACATTTGTTAAAACAAATCCATCGGATCACAATTATATTCAGTTCGAAGCTGGATTGTTCTGTGGCTCTCCTGTAGGTATGCTTGGCGGCCAGCAAAGAATATCCCTTTCCCTTGATTGCTGGAACTACCGCGTTATTCTTCGTGAGATCGGCCACGCTATAGGTTTACACAGCGAACATAACCGTCCAGACAGGGATGACTTTGTTGAAATCTTGGAAGAAAATATTCAAGCGCAGGAGAAGATAAATTTCATGAAAGTATACGAAGACGAAGCAGACATAACTGGTCCGTACGATTATCGCAGCATCATGCACTATTCCGGCAAAGAATTTTCTGCGAATAACAGAACCACGATCAGAACGAAGGACCCCACATATCAAAATGTAATAGGATCGGGCTATCACCTGAGTCGTTACGATATTGAAAAGGTCAACTTGATGTATTCATGTCCTAAACCAAACTAAAAGCCCAGCAAAAGACCAAGGAAGATGCGCAGAAATAGAAAAAATTAACAATGTATTTTTTTCGGCATTCTACCCCCCCCCCCCCCCCCCCCCGGTGCATTTAAAGGCCACTCCATCCCACTGCTAAAAATTGGAAAAATGTATAATTTATTTAACCCTTAAACTGAATGCAATAAAAAAATTAAGAGAATACTTTTGTCATTTATAAAAGCTTTGTTGTGTTTTTTAATGGTTGATAATTCAAGATAGTTATTCTCTGAAAACGTCGACTATACAAAAAATAGTATTTAATTTATACTCGCAAGGACAGTATGACCTTTTATTGGTCGGTGCTACCCAACAATATATCCTCTGGTTGTAACTGTAGGACATTATTTCCTCTGGCTAAAGTTATAGGACATTATGTCCTCTGATTGGTTGATCTACAGGACAGTATCTCCTCTAATCGAACCTACAAGACATCATGTCCTCTCATTGGTTGAAAGTCCTGTTTTTTCCGATTCGGTGACGCGTAAAACGGCAAAATTTTGATAAATCTGGATTTAGACTTTTTGCCCGATTAAAATAAGTTCCCTCATAAGTCCTTATATGATTTACTGAGGTGTAAAACGGTTAAAACTGTCAAACTTTTATATTATTTTTTTAGCAAGCTATCGATACTTCCTTAATACTCTGTAGCATATACGAGAAAGTAAAAAGATGAAGAAGATGATGAAGAAGAAGAAGGAAAGACAATTTCATGTCCTAAAATATGTTACTCTGACATGATAGGGAAAATTAAATTTGCTCCAATTTAAAATTAGACTCAAACGAAACCTTCATTTTATTTTAAATATATTCGATATAATACATAATTTTGTAATGGTAAGAAGGAGAGCATACAAAACAAATATAAAATAACACATTTTATTCAACTGAGTAATTATTCTAGAAATAATTTAAAATGTGGAATGTAATAACGGATATTTTTTTTTTCAATCTCATAGAAAACTGCTAATTAAAAATTGAAATTACCAGGATAATCTTACGTGGCTTGGTAAAGGAATTTAATATTTTATTATTACCCCTATACATAAGCTTGACACAGTGAGTTAAAGTGTATTCAGGATAAACCTCGCATTGACAAGTTATTAAATCTGTTATATCCCGGAATGCCAAATCTCTGATTCACCGAATGGGCTATGGCATGAAAATATAATCATGCATTTTCAACCATCAAAAGTAATCTTTAACTTACAAGATACAACACAATTCAAATTTAGTAAAGTAAATGATAAGTGGTCTTTTTTTAATTATTGGAGTTGTCGAAGATTCATTTCTTGTAATTGGTCGGCGTGGTCGAGTCGGTAAAGCTTATGGTAGCTAAACCCAAAATTTGTTCGAGTTCGAACCCTCGGGGCAGATGAGCCTCGTTAGCTGGGGACAGCCACTCTTCTAGGAGAGATAACTCCAAAATCAAACAAATGCTTCCTTCGTTGGACAAAGGCTGTGGAAGGGGATCTCTCCCAACACTAAAATTAAAAACGAAGAAGAATAAGATTGCTTGTAATTACTAAATGAATATTATTATTTGTAAATATTAGAAACAGGTTGTTTTTTTTTCAGTAAAACCCTATCTACTATAGCATTTTTAAGAAAAAAAGTTATTGGAGACAAATCGGATATTCTGATTTTCTGAATATCAAAACGTCCGAATATTAGTATTGTTTTTTTTCAAATAGCTGATTTTCCGAATATACGACATTTTTATGTAAGCTAGCCAATATTCCGACAGTATGATAATAGATAATCTTATATTCGAAAACTTCGATACTCAACAAAATTGATCCAACAGCCTGATATTCGGAAAGTCTGTTATTCGGAAAATATTCGGACAATCATAGATTCAGAAAGTTTCTAGACTGATCATTAAGTTGGGTGGGGTTTGGGCAATCGTCATACACGTGATCTAGCAATAAGTAACAGAAATTTTTTAATTAGTAAAATAGCATGGCTGGTCCCATGCGGGTTAATATAGTTGTTTATTACATACGTGTAGCTGTACAGGCGGTGTGGAGATGTAGGGGGATGGGGGGTGGGACCTAAAGATTATATGTAGGTAAACGGCAGACATAGACATCTTAGACAGCGGCGTAGTTAGGGTTAGGGTTTAGTTAGATTTTAGTTTGGAGCAATAGCTTGGGCTTACATTCTATGTGTGGTATAGATCTACACACATTCACAGACACACACACAAACTGACACACACACACACACACATAGACACGCACGCATATCATCTTTGCCAGTTCCTGCCCAAGACACATGGGTCAGATGAAGAGGAGTTCATTAGCTTCACATACCTTGGCAAATGAAGGGATGGTGTGGTCAGCAATATGACCATCCGCCTTTACTTTCCCTTACGTTAGTTAACTAACCATGAGAGCTGGGTGGACTCGGGGACAATTTACTGATTTGAACCAGGATTCGAACTCGAGACTTTCCGGTTAGTAGTTAAGCTCTCTACTGATAGACCACGGAGTCCCATGCACACACACGCACACACACACACACACACACACACACATATATATATATATATATATATATATATATATATATATATATATATATATATATATATATATATATATATATACATATATATATATATATATATATATATGTATATATGTATATATATATATACCTACGTATATAGTTTGTAACGTTTATTTCATTCTTAAATGTGGCCAACACGTCAAAAATTTTGTAGAGATTGCAACATTTTGACATTTAGAAAGATGAGCTACGCCTATGATACATAATGGACACGTATTACGGTACGTTATTTTCTGTCTCTTACATTTCCACGTTACAAAATACACGGCTGCTTTAGCTTAGAGCGCTGATGTAGAGATTCAGTGACTCTAGTTACATTAATTCAAGAAACAGTGATCGTCAAACCTCACCAAACTATTGAAGCGCAATGTCCAACGAAGGATTTCTTATCATGTTCCTGCTTGCTATCCTTGCTTATGTCGCGGTAAGTTATTTTATAAAAGTATTTTGTATACCATTGTACATTGACTATACCGTGTACGGTCAGTTCTCATTAACTTGATGACAATGGTGCGGGTTAGTCTAGTTGATGACAGTGGTGTTGGTAGGTCAAGTTGATGACAATAGGGTTGGTCAAGTTGATGACAATGGGGTTGGTCAAGTTGATGAGAATGGGGTTGGTCAAGTTGATGACAGTGGTGTGGGTTGGTCAAGTTGATGACAGTGGTGCGGGTTGGTCAAGTTGATGACAGTGGTGTGGGTTGGTCAAGTTGATGAAAGTGGTGCGGGTTGGTCAAGTTGATGAAAGTGGTGCGGGTCGGTCAAGTTGATGAAAGTGGTGCGGGTTGGTCAAGTTGATGACAGTGGTGTGGGTTGGTCAAGTTGATGACAATGGTGCGGGTTGGTCAAGTTGATGACAGTGGTGTGGGTTGGTCAAGTTGATGAAAGTGGTGCGGGTTGGTCAAGTTGATGAAAGTGGTGCGGGTTGGTCAAGTTGATGAAAGTGGTGCGGGTTGGTCAAGTTGATGAAAGTGGTGCGGGTTGGTCAAGTTGATGAAAGTGGTGCGGGTTGGTCAAGTTGATGAAAGTGGTGCGGGTTGGTCAAGTTGATGAAAGTGGTGCGGGTTGGTCAAGTTGATGAAAGTGGTGCGGGTCGGTCAAGTTGATGAAAGTGGTGCGGGTTGGTCAAGTTGATGACAATGGTGCGGGTTGGTCAAGTTGATGATGACAATGGTGCGGGTTGGTGAATTTACTTTCACCATGTGTCTTACAATTTGGAAATTTTACGTGAGATTTAAACATTGTTCTGTGTGGTTGAATGTTAGTGTGCTTCATTTTTAACCAGATAAATACGAGTTCGGTTAATGCAATTCGTGAAATATTCGACGCGGTTCTACAGTTGTGTAGCTAGAATCGGTGCCATTAAGAACCACCCATAAACAGATTAACTCTATTATAATATTGGTAATTTGGTCCACAGCAATGTGTTTTAGTGTTGTTGTTTTTTTTCAAGTTTTTTCTTTTTTTATAGTTGTAATTTTTAAATGGGATATCCTTTAACTCCAAAACTATTACGTGTTAACATGTAACGCGCCATAGGGTCCTTTGAACAAGACTTAATCCTGCGTTTCTTTGTCTACCAAAGATCAATTTAAAAAGTTGATTTCATAGCCCTATCCATAGAGCATAGCCCATAGCCCATAGCCCATAGCCCATAGCCCATAGCCCATAGCCCATAGCCCATAGCCCATAGCCCATAGCCCATAGCCCATAGCCCATAGCCCATAGCCCATAGCCCATAGCCCATAGCCCATAGCCCATAGCCCATAGCCCATAGCCCATAGCCCATAGCCCATAGCCCATAGCCCATAGCCCATAGCCCATAGCCCATAGCCCATAGCCCATAGCCCATAGCCCATAGCCCATAGCCCATAGCCCATAGCCCATAGCCCATAGCCCATAGCCCATAGCCCATAGCCCATAGCCCATAGCCCATAGCCCATAGCCCATAGCCCATAGCCCATAGCCCATAGCCCATAGCCCATAGCCCATAGCCCATAGCCCATAGCCCATAGCCCTAGCCCTAGCCCTAGCCCTAGCCCTAGCCCTAGCCCTAGCCCTAGCCCTAGCCCTAGCCCTAGCCCTAGCCCTAGCCCTAGCCCTAGCCCTAGCCCTAGCCCTAGCCCTAGCCCTAGCCCTAGCCCTAGCCCTAGCCCTAGCCCTAGCCCTAGCCCTAGCCCTAGCCCTAGCCCTAGCCCTAGCCCTAGCCCTAGCCCTAGCCCTAGCCCTAGCCCTAGCCCTAGCCCTAGCCCTAGCCCTAGCCCTAGCCCTAGCCCTAGCCCTAGCCCTAGCCCTAGCCCTAGCCCTAGCCCTAGCCCTAGCCCTAGCCCTAGCCCTAGACCTAGCCCTAGCCCTAGCCCTAGCCCTAGCCCTAGCCCTAGCCCTAGCCCTAGCCCTAGCCCTAGCCCTAGCCCTAGCCCTAGCCCTAGCCCTAGCCCCACCCCTAGCCCCAACCTAAACCAGTCCTCGTCCTATCCATACCCCCCACACCAATATATCATCTCTTTCAGGTACTCGTCGAATCACAAAACGCATCAGGTCAAACGATGGACGAGGTCATCGCCGGCAGGGCAGTCAGGAACAAGAGATGCACTGAGTACGCTAAGGAAGACTACCCCATGCGTCAAGAGCTGGACATCCTGCTGTCCCGGGGAATATGGCGAACACCCCCGGTAAGGCCCAGAAAGGTTTTTTTAATAAATCTATTTTACATTTAAATTTATTAAGGTATCATTTGTTAGGGAACGTTTAGTCGGATGATAGAGCTTACGAGTGCCAACTCAAAAGGGTCGAGTTCGAAATTGGATTTCTTGAGTCTACTGTATGCATTAAACGATTATTGAAACGGAAGAACTCTTTGCCTTGTATCTTGGTAAAATACAAATCAAGATGAGATTGTTCAAGTTTAAAATTAAAACACTCTTAACGATTTTAAGGTACACTACTAATATTATAATTTGGAACACGGACGTATTAAATATATACACTTAATTCGTTTTCTAACTTGCTGTATATACATACATCTTTCTCTCTGTCTTTCTATCTCTCTCTCCCTCTCTCTCTCTCTCTCTCTCTCTCTCTCTCTATATATATATATATATATATATATATATATATATATATATATATATATATATTGATTTTATTTTTTATTTTTGTTCCGAATTACTGTCTTACAAGTAGAAGGCGGTATTAAAATTAATAAAAAGACAAATTTGTATTTGTTTGAAATGAAGCTCAATGTTGTTAACCCTGTTTTAGAGCAGTTTTTATGTTCCCCTAGGCAACCCACACTATGTCTATGGACAAGAATACAGAAGAAGCGCCGAGACGTAAAAAAAGAAATGCCGTAATAAACACGGACATGCATTGGCGACAAAATGCTATTCCTTATAGAATAGATCCTACATTCACCGACAGAGAAAAAAACAGAATCACCACAGCCATCAAAGAATGGACGAGGTATACCTGTGTCAGAATGTGGCAGGCAAGCAAAGTGAACACTGATTTGATTTACTTCGCGAAAAATCCATACTACTGCGAATCAAACGTGGGGAGGGTAGAGGGGCTACAGCGGATTCAGTTGACCCACAACTGCACGCGGAAATCTACCGTAGCGCATGAGATTGGGCATGCATTGGGGCTCCAACACGAACACATGCGCGCGGACAGAGACAAGTACGTTGAAATAGTTTGGAACAATATTGAGGTTGGGATGGTTTATGCTTTTGATATAGTGCCCCACGACGATTTTACCTCCATTGGCCCTTACGATTACCTTAGCATCATGCACTACGGTCCAACCTATATGTCTGGGAATGGTGGAGTCACGATAAAAACAAAGGACCCTAAGTTCCAGGATAAAATTGGTTTAACCAAGCGGGTGAGCTTTCATGATTATATGAAAATCAACCACTTGTATAAATGCGCGGACCATTGCTCGAAATCACGGAAATGCCCTGAGGGTGCGTTTAAAGGCAAAGATTGCAAATGTTGGTGTCAAGGGAGCTACAGATTCCCCATCAAACTTTGCGGAACGTAAATTCGCGATTTTTTTTTTTGGAATACTCGCATCATTTGATGCAATCTTTGTTTTATGCTCAAAATTTGATTTTTATCTTAAGGTATCAATCCATGACACGAATTTTAGATCTTGAATTAAATTTTAAATATTTAAAATCTATCTTTAAAAAAAAATCCCTCTCTTCGCCGATCACAAAGGTTTGAATTCAGATTGCGAAACATTGCCGAATTAAAATTAATGTTTTTTTTTTGGAATTTACATCAGCTTTACGGCTACCGGGGTATTAACTTATAATGGTTAATTGCATAATTAGTCATTAATTACCGCTAAAATTTCGTCAATTTACTTTTCATTTTAGTATTCTTTAAAAAGATAGTCCACAATACTAAAGTGTAGACAGAAAAAGTATGGGCTAGAGTTTTAGAAATTTGCTTCAAGTAACTTTGACAACAAAATAAAGTTTGAATATGTAATATATTTAAAAATAAAAAATAAACTCAATCTTAATTACAAAAATAGTTCAAATTAACTACGTTACAAGACAAGGAATTTTCCCGAATTTTCTCAAATACTATAAAGTATTTTGTATATGAAAGTGAAGAAGTTTTTTAATCACATAAATAAACAGTAAGCATTATATGTGTATTGATGGACTCCTTAATCTTTTGTTTTGTTTTATAATTTTGTGCTTTTATCTGTTCATCTTCGTTGTTTTTATTTCTAGCATTTATAGTTTACTGTTTCGTTTAAATTATATAAACCTGTCTTTAACTTAAAGGTTTTGATGTATCTGTTAAGTTTGATATGAATATAATTTCGGCCATTGCTTATGTTCAATTAAATGCGTTTTACTTGAAATAATTGAATTAAAAACATTGGGTTCAGACTAAATGTGTTATGTAGTATGTGTTTCTATAAAGTTTTTATAAAGTGGTTTGAGTTTTGTTATGTATTATGTTAATTACCCCTTACCCAAGCCAGACTGGCAAGCATAGAAGTACTCAGTCCTGAAAACATTTCTTTGGTTATAGACAAGAATTGTTCTTTGTTTCTGTTTGCGTTCTAAAACGTGTAGAGCAGCAACAATATCGCATTTGTGTCTTTCTTTGGCCGGCTTTCTTAGTCGCCTAAAATAACAAAGAAGTTCGTCCCATAGAACAATTCCGATCGACTATGACTTCTATAGAGGGACGGCGTGGTCAAAAGTACAGCTTACGCTTGCTAGACCCCATAGTTTCGAGTTCGGATCTTAGGGTGGAGCCTAATGGACTTCCACTCAGCTTTGATGGGTACCTGACCTAAGTTGGAGAAACAAGGGCGGTTCGGTGTATTGTTGAAAACTTTCCCCCTTGTATGCCGAGATAATCGAAAATGATAATCTCTACTTCATCTCCCCATGTGTCTTGGGCACAAACGGGACAAGATGGTGATGATGATTTCTATTACGTGACTGTGTGATCGAGTGGTAGGGTATGGCTTCTGTACCCGATAGTCAAAGATTTGAGAGACCATCAAGCAATGATTGGTATCTGACTCAAGCTAACAACACTATCTCTTTTCTGTATATGCTTAGTTTCATAGTTTAATTTTTCTAATAGAAACAAAAGAGCAGGATAAGGGTTATTATTACTGCATAGTATACATAAATTTATTATTTATAAAAAGTACAGTAATGTGACGAACAAACTTAATAAAAGACTATTTTTGAAATATTATTAAATGTGTCTTTTTAACGCTGACGGATTATCTTCTTTGATATAAAAATAGATTTGCTATGTGCAAACATTACAACTGAAGTTCAAAGCTGTATTTCTTTTATTGTGAGTCTAAATCAGCTTGTTATAAACACACTTTTATTAAAACTCCACTATGGCTAATTACGTTGAACATGTCATTGGACCCACACATTGTCACGACAACCTGCCCAATATTTCTTTGTTCTCTCTTCTAAAAATAGTATGTTCCATAGCATATTTACATCTACTCGTCGAATCCCGCATCAAATGAACAAAGAGATAACTATTTAGGGCAATAAACTGAGCTACTTGTTACATATTTTAACCGCTTTCGCATAGGGCCAATATTTTCAATTTATAGGAGTGCAGTGGAAGCTTAATGAGTGATATACAGTTTTAATTAAAATAGTTGATTAAAAAAACTAATCACTACATGTATGCGATAACCAATAAACATATTAATAAACATACATATAGAAACGTGCTACATGCGATTCAATATCTTATATATCTCGGTGATTGTAATCAAACAGGGATTATATTATTGCAGTAGTAACATGTTGTAATAAAACGTGTATGGTTATACATATTACTTCTTGTTATCGTGTACATGAAACTTTACCACTCGTTATATGGTTTACAAATGTTTACAACTCTATAGTTAAGTATAAAAAATAATTGACTACACTATATATTGAGTAAAAAAATAATACCTCTCGTGATATTGTCTACATAACGTTACCACTAATTATATTGCGAACACAACTTCATGACGTGCTATCTTGTGTACAAAACTTTCACATTCGTTATCTTGTGTACAAAACTTTCACATTCGTTATCTTGTGTAGAAAAAAAATACCACTCTTGATATTGTGTACACAAAAGTTGACCACTCTATATTTGCATTAAAACTTTACCACTCTATATAATGTGTACAAAACTACCTCCCGTTATCGTGTGTACAAGCCTTTACATATCGGGATATTGTGTAAACCCTTTACTACTCTATACATTGTGTACAAAACCTTACCGTTCATTATCGTGTGTACACTACTTTACTATTTGCATTTTGTTACAATATTGTATACCTGCGTGTAGAATAATAGTAAGCTGCTTGAAATTGTTTATTTACCTGAAGGTATAATTAAATAACAATTTATAACTGTATTACTACGTGGCAAATACTCATCTAATGTAAGGATAACACGATAAACATATGCAGGTTATAAAAATTTGTCTTTTGTTTCTTATATTTTCCAATATTATGTGGACATTTTATAATGATGAATTGGGTACGTGGCAAATACGTTAAAAGATGAGTTAGCTTTGGGTTAGAGGCTAGGGCTAGAGTAGTTATCAAAGCGACGATATATATATATATATATATATATATATATATATATATATATATATATATATATATATATATATATATATATATATATATATATATATGTATATATATATATGGATATATATAGATATATAGATATATACATAAATATATATATATATATATATATATATATATATATAAATATATATATATATATATATGTATGTATGTATATATATACATATATATATATACATATATATATACATATATATATATATAAGGTTACTTGAACACGTTCACACACTGAACCGTCATCCAGATTGAGCTGCTTTGTGAGAATGATCTGGAATTGTGCACCTGATACATAAACAACATCTACTTATTTCGAAACACCTGTAATTTTCATCAGACGGCTGAAATAGAATTACATTGAGGAGATGGGATTAGTTGTATCACACACTGTTAAAATCGACGAACATAACTGCGCTAAAATGGAACACTCAAGTTAGCAGGAAAAAGCATCCCACAAACACCTTCGTCGTTAGCCCCCAAAGAAAAGCCAGGTGTTATTAATTAATTAAACTGATGATCATTATGATGATACGATTTTTATGATTTTTATTCGAACTATATGAAACAATAAAAAAGCAATTGTCATTAATTTAAAAAAGGACCTCTGTTGATGATTTTTTATTTTATTTTTTATGAAGCCAACAATGCTTATCTGTTTGTTAAATCTGTATATAAATCTAGCTACTCTTTCAAAGATTACAATAAAACGTTTAACTACATTTGCTTAACCATGTGTCCATAATTCAAATTGGTCAAATTTGTTTAATGCTTCTAAATAGTAAACGCTTAACTATTTATTATTTTTCTATACTTCTCTCTGGTCTAAACTTTTATTTTATAATGCTTTGAAATAGTGAAAGTATTTTACTGGCCATAGGCATAAAAATGCCTAAGCACAGTTAGGGATAGTTTGGAAGCACCGACTAAAAACAAACACAGAAGATTACTGGTCAATGTTTATAATGGAAACTCCGAGGACTAAATTTTAAGGAATCGCCTAAAACCGACGACTATGTGGATGTGTGTTAGCTGCCCTGAGCTCTACAAGGGTTCGTTCCACTGAAATGATGATGATGCATGTTTTGATATAACTGTTTTGTTTACTCAAGGTTTTAATAAAGTCCCCTTTTAAACCTGACGGTCTACGGGCAGGTGAAGTAGAGTTTACCTGTTTCTGTGACCTCGGCATATGAAGAGAATAGTGTGGTCAGCACTATGCCAAGCCGCCTTTACTTTCCCTAACGTGAGTTAGGTACCCATCAGAGCTGTGTGGACTCACGGACGGTCTACTGACTTGAACCAGATAAGAATTCGAGACTTTCTAGCCCTTTACCGCTAAGCCACCCCGTCTCAGGTTTCAATGTTACCTTTAAATTGACTGAGTTTCAATGTCTTTGTTCCTCTAAGTTTCATGTTTATTTTTTTAAACCATTTCAGCATTCTCCCTTCAATTAACACTATCAAAATGTCAATTAAACATTTTTAAAGTAAAATTTATTTTAAGAAATTAAAGGATACATCCTTATTTGTGCCAAATTATTTAAATTTACATAGTACTATTCAATGTACCATTCATAGTTACGTTACGTTTGCCTGTCGTCCCTACTGGGACATAGGCCGCTGACAAGAGCTTTCCAGACGTCTCTGTCCAGGGCTAGTCTCTCCAACTGTCCCCAGGTGTATCCGATCTTCTTGGTGTCTTCTTCCAGGTCACGTCTCCAGGTCTTTCTTGGTCAGCCTCTCCTCCTCCTGCCTGGTGGATTCCAGGTGAGGGCCTGTCTTGTTTTGACTATTCATATTACTTAATTGTAAAGGGACCGTGAGGGGCCTAAGCAGTAAAGCCCTAAGCTGCAAACCCGAAGGTCTCTAGTTCGAATCAGAGTCTAAGTAATTACAACGTCCCTGAGTCCACCCAGCTCTGATAAGTACCTAACTCGTGTTGGAGAAATAAACTCTGGCTGGGCAAAGTGCGGATCACACCTTCACTTCATATGCCGAGGTCAAGAATCATGAACTCTACTTCAATTGCCCAATGGCTGTAAAAGTGAATAGTTCAAATTATGATAACAAACTATAGATGACATACATTTCCATGCACATATGATCATGGATTTTATTTTAAATTAGATTAATGATGAAAACTCTTTATCAATAATAACTATTTTCAATCGTTTATTATTGGATCGAATCGCAAGCTTGGACAGTGACTGTTCCGTTTCCCGGACACCAACATTTGCAGTTTTTCCCAACGAACGCTTCCTCCGGACAGACTCGCTTTTTGATGCAAAGTTCGTCGCATTTATACAACAAATTCGCGGCTTTAATGTCGTAAAAGCTTAACCCAGGCACCCATCCAATCAGCTTTTGATACGCTGGGTCCTTGGTCTTTATCGTGAGTTTCTTATTGTTACTCAGCTCGTTTTGAGTGTAATGCATGATACTTAAATAATCATACGGGCCCGTGATTGTAACATTTTCCGGTAGTTGTTTCTCGAAGTTTTTCTTCAACTTCTTGTCAACGTTCGGTAAAATAATTTCAACGTAGTCGTCCCTGTCCGGACGGTTGTGTTCGTGATAAAATCCAATGGTGTGTCCAATCTCATGCAGTATAAGATCTTTACTGCTGCAGTTGTCCGTTAAGACTATACTTTGTGGACCGCCTTTCATGCCCACAACCGCGCTACAATCATTCCCTTTTTTAATCTTTACATAATTAACATCCGATTCTTTCGCTTTCTTTATTTTAATACATGTGTAGTTTCTCCATTCTTTGATGGCTTTCTTGATTTCTTTCCGTTGTGTTCTGGTAAAATGGGTTTTGAATATTTTGAAGGGTATTGTTTTGTTGGGCCAGATGTGTTTGGGGTCTTTAATAACCATTCTCTTCTTAAGTTTGGTTTCTGTAGTGCTAGTGATCTCATCCATAATAAATGGTTTCTAGAGTAAATAAATATTAAGAGTATCACAAAAAAGGCATAGATCCATAGTTGTTTTATTTAATCAAATTTCTAATTATTGTTGACTAAGTTTTTTCATTTTTTTTAACATTATAAACTTTATGAGTGAAACTTAAAACTAGCCTATAAACTATGAGATACTAAGGGCTATGAACAAAACAAACACATAATGTTATTAAGTAAAGTAAAAGTGAAGTTTCCTTTTCAAACCTCACGGTCTATAGGGCAAGTGAAGTAGAGTTCACTTGTTTCTGTGACCTCGCCATATGAAGAGATAGTGTGGTCAGCACTATGCCCAGCCGCCTTTACTTTCCCTCACGTGAGTTAGGCACTCATCAGAGTTGGGTGAACTCGGGGACGTACTATTGACTTGAACCCGTGATTCAAAATCGAGACTTTCTGACAATCAGTCGTACGTTCTCATTATTAAGTAGGTCTATATAAAATTTTGACATGTTCCCGTAAAGTGGTCACAGTTTCAACCCTATGGATGTTTAGTAAAAGACAAGTGATGTTGTTACCTGTTGAGAGTTCGTGTCTAGTGGTGGCAATGCTATTTCTTGCTCGTTACGCACATTGTCGTTGTTGGTGTTGTTGTTGTTGTTGTGCCCTGCACCACTTTGACCCGTAGATGCACCATCTGTCAGCTCAACTATGGTCGCATCGCTCGTCTGCTCTGACGTCACGAGTACCTGAGCAACGTTTAATTCACATGTTAAAACATAGGAGAATAGTGTGAATCGTCGAAGAAAGATTCATATAATATTGTTTATGTCATATGAAGCCTATCATCCCAAGACAAGGTGGATAGCTCTACTGTTCAAGGTCACTACTAACGCTGTAAAAAGGTCATCCGCCTCAGGAAATATAAACGTACCCTAAACCCTTAGTGATTAGTATTGTGTGCAGACATACACAGTAGGTTTGTTGTTGCTAGTTTGTTCATTACCAGTGTGCTGCTTTAAACATCAAGAAGACGAAATTGTCCATACGGCTGGTGAAGTAGAGTTGGTGAATTATCTATTACTAACCACAGCCCTAATCCTAACTCGTGTGGTGGGGGGGGGGGGTGGGGCTCGTCCCTAGATATGTTCCATAATATAAGAAGGCGTGGTCTTTGTAAATGTTATACACTGGTTCACTGGTTATGACGGTGTGTCAACATATAGTATTGTCCTATACAATATCATCAAGAGAGCTAAACTATAAAATAATCTACATTCTCCACCCACTAAAAAACGACTGATACAATAAATGTTAACTAGAGCTTCAGTTTTCTGCCATAGCTAATTTTATTCACGACAAACTGTGTAGTCGTACAGTAATAAAGATTGTTCATGTCCAACATAATTGATTTAAACTTGTAACACGTGTTAGAATTTTAAAAAGAAATAAAACCACACTAAGCGATTTTTGCTTAATACAAAACAATATTGATTAACAAAGTGTAACATGTGGGTGCGAAATTAATATTGCTGGTTTGTCTTTACAAATATATGTGACGATTATGGTCTGGTCAAGATAATTCATTACCCCCCCCCCCCCCCGACTATTTCACTGGTGCTCACAAAATTCCAACAACTGGACCCCTAGCCAATAGAAATTCCCCCCCCCCCCCCCACCCCCTCTAATATTTAATCCACGCATGCCATTCCCCCATGGCTATGTACAATGTTGAGACGGCTTTGTCCGAAAGTCGTCTTATTGTGGCCAATCATCGATACAAATCATCTGAAGCATGCATCTCCTTCTTTTATCTGAGGCTAAATAATAAAACTAGATCAAACAATACTTACTGCACCAGATACAACTTCCGTTAGCAGTAGCAAAATAAAAGATCCAGTACTCAACATCTTGCTGAAGTTGGCTGTTTTTATATTCTTTACTCACAGTTAGATACCCTTATCAGCTGTTTTATGCACTTTGTTATAACGGTATACGGCTCTCTAAGCTGTATACGGCGTCTCGTTATTTGAGATTGGAAAAAAAGTAGCTGACAGATTGTGTTTATGCTACGTGTAACAAAGGTGTAGACAGTTCTCCAAAGTGCTGTAGGGAAGATGGAGATTGTGTCAGGTGGCTTTAGTTGCTGTTCATTAATATAAACTGTACAAGAAGAACTTGATTAAAAATTAAAGTATCGGCCAAGGCAGCTTTATTGTACTTCGGAGTTTGCCTTGTTGAGGCCTGTCTGGCTGATGGGAGACACTCCTTGAGCCGGTGATGT